GGGGGAGGGACTTATATTGTTGTTGATGAAGGGAAAGTTGTTTAGACCTTAATACCCAGTATGCATATTAATATTTTTCTAGCTGATGTATAAAAAACAGAAAATGCCAAATCATGGTGGATTAGACAAACATAATGAAGAGAACCAGTCTAAAAGAAAGTTAGGAAGGAGGAATAAAAAGAGTAGTTAACAGAAAACATGAAAACAACATCTTAGAAAGGTATCCAAATACATTAATCATCTTATTGTGAATAACATCTGGAAAAAATGATGATGCAAATATTGAAAGGGAAGGGGTGTGGAATGATGGGGTATTTCTCAATAAAATATGATGGATATCAATTGTAAATACCAGACAAATAGATTTCAAAGCAAAGAAGCATGATTAGGGATACAGAGGGCCATCTGTAATCCCCAAACAAACGATTCCCTCGAAGCATAGCCATTACGAGAAGGCGCTGGGTGACACAAACATGTAAGCGCTAAACTACTAGCTCAGAGGTTAGTGGTTTAAACCCATTCCGAGGCACCTCAGATGGCAGGCCCGGCAGTCTGAGTGTCAGCGGGCACAGCCTTGAAAACCGATGGATCCGTTCTGCTCTGCGTGCATGTCATGAGTCAGCACTGACCCCTGGTGAACATGGCTGGAGAGCAATGGGAATGCTGACAATTCGCATGGCAGGCCCGGCGCCTTGTTCTTCATGGGTTGAGAGTGAAGCAGTCCTTTTCCGGCACACACAGGACCTCTACAAAAATAGAGCACACATCAGGCTATGCTGCGGCGTTCAACAAAGACCAACGAATTCATGTCTTCAAAATTCTGTTCCCTGATCAATATGTGTAAAAATAAATAAATAAATAAATGATTAAATTTAGAAAACCGCAACTGGAGAATTATCAAATATGTAAGGCTAAATGTTAATAAAAATACGGACTCAGAACTTGTTGGGGTGGAGGTAACTAATTGAGGATGTAATACTGAAGGAGGCCTCTTTTTGCTTTGTTTTGTTTTTTACAGCGAGAGCTATTTAGTATGCACCGTATATATTTGAGTATAAGCCAACCCGAATATCAGCCGAGGCACCTCATTATACCACAAAAACTGCATTAGAAATGTGCTAAAAAATTCAGCTTTTACACGAGTATATATGATAATCAAAGTACTTATTAGACCAGTGGTTCACAACCTCCCTAATGCCACCACCCTTTAATACAGTTCCTCATGTTGTGGTGACACCCCAACCATAAAATTATTTTCATTGCTACTTCATCGCTTTAATTTTGCTACTGTTATGAATCATCATGTAAATATCTGATAGGCAGGATGTATTTTCATTGTTACAAATTGAACATAATTAAACCATAGTGATTCATCACAAAAACAATGTGTAATTATATATTGTGAAATATTTTTTTCTCATGACAAATAAGTGAAATGTTGTCTTGAAGCATGGTGTAGCATGGGTCACAGTCTTCACGCCGGGTACTTGTCTGTGGGCGTATCTGCATGTGGGCGACCTGCCTGGAGACAATAGAGGAGCCGTGTCTCAGTTCCTAAGACCATTGGAAATATGTGTTTTCCAATGGTCTTAGGTGACCCCTGTGAAAGGGTCATTCGACCCCCAAAGAAGTCGTGACCCACAGGTTGAGAACTGCTGCCTTAGACCCTCCAAAGCAAGATATAAAACCCAGTAACCCATAAAAGAAAAAGAAAAAATATATATATATATGGACTTAACTATAGAAATATCACACATGGCTGAATGATGGAAGACACTGATAAGCAAAGGCAAGTGCAGGCTGGGAGGAAAGATTTGCCATACACACCGTGCATGCATCCAGGATTAATTTCACAATGGTGAACTGGAAAACAGAAGTCCGGTTTTTTGTGAGCCTCTGTTTTGATCCCCACTCCCCCACCCCCCAAAAAACCAAAACTTTCCATTTCAGAGTAACTTGGTTACCTTCTGTCAGTTTTTTCCCAAATCCCTGGGTGTCTTTGGAGTTGATCTTGGTGCTCAGCGTTCTGCCTTCTTCCTCACTGCACACAAAGAGGCGTGTGTGGAAGGATGCGCTGTATGTCCGTGGAGCTGGCTGTGTGCGTGGTGTGACTGTGAGTTCCCAGGAAGATAGGGGGCTGTCCTCTCTGCACCTCCGAGCCACCAGGGTCTAGAATCTCTAACACCCACAGAATCTGTGTGGCCTCATGGTTGTGAATGCTTTTAAACATCCCTGCGTGCTGCGGTGCCCAGGGATGTTACATAGGGCTTTGACTGCAGAGATGCTTGGACAGGAAATAGTGCCCATGCCACTTGCTGAAATTGCATCCTTGTCCAAACAACTGGCCCGCATCCTTTAAATAACTTGACCGAAACATCAGTGTGAGGATACAAGTCAGCAATTGTGTTAGGCTGGGTTGACTTGAGAAACAAATCCAGAGACACCCATGTGTGTCTAAGAGAGCTTTACATCAAAGAGCAATTGTAAACTGAGAAAACATCCTAGCCCGGTTCAGATCAAGTCCATAAGGCTGATATTAGCCCATATGTCCGATGCCAGTCCAGAAATCCCCCTTCAGACTCATGCAACACATGCAGTGACACCGAATGCAGAAAGATCACGGGCCAGTGGGTGGAAAGTCTTGTGGATCCAGTGGCAGTGGAAGCATCTGAGTGCTGGCATGGTTCTCCATGTGGATCCTCCAGCTCCAGGGCTCTGATTGCCATCAGAATTACTCCATGTAGTTTGTTAACAGAAAGATGATGCAGAGAGAGAGTGTGGCCCACCTCCAGGGAGAAAGAGAGGAAGTTCCCAGAATCCTCATGAGAAGGCCACCCCACAAGAAGGGATCATCAGGTTGTGACCTGATTGACAGACTAAACTCCACCTCTTCACTCTGTTTATAAAGTTGATGGGATCTTATGTAAGGACCACAGCAGTCTTGTACTTAGCATGCTATGCCACTGCATGGCAGCTTAACAACTTTTGAACTATAGCCCACAGTCCAGGATCAAGTATAGATATCTACATGTGCAGCCTCCTTGGATCCTCCCAGTGGCCCCAGGAGGCGGCATCACCCACGTTGGGAAGCACTGTTCAACACTCAGCTTAGCCAGATCACCCCGACTGCCTTGACCCACGGATTCATTTCCATTTGCCAAATGCTCTCTCATGGCTGGAATTGGAAAACTGCTCAGTGGTGCCCCTTCAGGCAGCACCCAGGGCCTGCACCATCCTGTGGATGAGCTTAGTTCTAACCATGGGCATCTCAGTCTAACCTCTCACATATAAATAATAAGCCTCTCTAGGCTTCTGGAAGAACATGCTTTTGAGAAGTACGCACAACTAGGCGGCCCTTTCACGTTCCTCTCCGGGTCTTCTGCCAACAGTTGGCCTTCCAGAGATTTGATGTATGTGTTAGTCTGGGTAGACTAGAGAAACAAAATCATAGACACTCACGTGTGTATAAGAAAGAACTTTATATAAAAGAGCAATTGAATATTGAGAAAACAGCCCAGTCCAGATCAAGTCCATAAGTCCGATATTAGCCCATATGTCCCATACCAATCTATATAGTGCTCTTCAGACTCACAAAATGCAACGGCACGGAATGCAGAAAGATCACAAGTCAGTAGGTGGAAAGTCTTGTGGATCCAGTGGCATTGTAAGCATCTCAGCGCTGGTAGGGGTTTCCACGTGGCTTCTCCAGCTCAGGGCACTAGGGTCATCCCATGTGTCTGGTCAGCTGCTATGTCTCCCAGGGAGTGAGCAGAGAAAGTGTGTCTCCCTCCTCCAAGGAGGAAGACAGGAGTTCCCAGAATCTTCAGGAGAAAGCCATGCCCACACAGAGGCCTCGGTGGGCTATACAATGATTGACAGGCTAGACTCCACCCCTTCACTCCGAATCCTCAAGTCGACACCAGATTATGTAACTACCACAGTGTAGGAAGGCCTTCCCAGGCAGCTTGGCGTCTGGCTGTAGGAATCTAGACTACCTGCCGAGCGCCCCAGACCTTGATGTGCTCTTCCTGGTCTCCTCTCCCATCTAGCGAGATGAAGCAGAAGCTGGAGGAGGAAGGCAGCAAGTGCAGGATCCTCTCCAAGCACCAGAAGTTCGTGGAGCACTGCTGCATGCGCTGCTGCACGCCCTTCACCTTCCTCGTCAACACCAAGCGCCGCTGTGGGGACTGCAAGTTCAACGTCTGCAAAGGCTGCTGCGCCTTCCAGAAGCGAGAAAAGGTCTGGATCTGCTGTGTCTGCCAGCAAGCCAGGTGAGTGTTCGCCAGGTGAGGGGGACGTACCTGCCCCTTCCTTCAGCCAGGTAGGACTAGCTGCGACTGGCTGGCCAGCCTAGCAAGCATCTGCAGGAGTGGAAAGATTGCTGGGGTGAAAGGTTGGGCACTTCTTTGGAGAGAGGCTGAGAGGGAAACCACCTGGGTGTAAGCAGGAAGGAGGAAATGGAAAATACAACTCCCTGCAGGTCCGCCTCTCCTTTGGATGTTTCTTGTCTGGGGCGCATTCTTTGATTCCCTCACTCTGCACGGCTGGATTCTTAGGAGTCGTGCGGGGCATGAGGATAAGGGTGTTGGCTTGGGCAGATTGCTTGGGCCTCAGAGGCTTAGGGGGTGATTGACCCCCCGGGTTCTCAAGGGCTGGTTCTGGTCTGTGGGAATGCTTGCCCTAACCAAGTCACTGGCTCTCTGTCCCGGGCCTGGGAAAAGCTGCGTGGGGGGACAGAAGCTAAATGCGGCATTGTGGAAGGTGCAGAAAGAACCAATCGTGTGAATGGGGTGGAATGATTCCATTTGGAAGACAGGACCAGAGAGCTTGGAGTCGCGTACTATCCGCATGCTCCCGCAGTGATGCACTGACCACTTGCATGGTTGAGTTCTTAATACGTGGAAACGGTAAGCAGTGTTTGCTGCTTGACACTTCACGCTCATGGAGATCGAGTCGATTCCGACTCAATAGTGATCCTGTAGGACCAAGTAGAACTGACCCTGCCGGTTTCTGAGACTGGAACTCTTTGGGGGAGTAGAGAGCCTCATGATTCTCTTGGTTTGTTCCTTAGCAAAACAAAAAACCAAAACCTTGGTCTTTGCTGATACTAGCATCGTATAACATTATATGTCACTCCTCTTGCATCCTTGAACAATGGCTCTATTCCAGTGAGCCACATGGAGACTGGCTGGATCCTGGCAGCCCCTATTCAGATGCCCACCTTCCTTACCTTTCCCTTCTTCTCTTCCCTCTCATCCCCCTTCCCTGTTTGCTTATTCATAAGACACATCAGCTACCAGCAATTTCCCTTCAAATGAGTTCAGGGGGTTGGCTACGTAGAGACTTAAGAGTCACCCAAGAATCCTTCTGTAGGCTATCAAGTACAAGTCAGCCCAGCGATGCCCGCTAAAGCCAAAGATGGTTTGCTGACCACCTCCTGGCCAGCCCCTCCCTTATCCTGGACCTGCCTTTCAGGGCAAAGAGCCCATCAAAGACACACAGCATCTTGAAAGGATGACACAAGTTCCCTGGCAACAGAAAGGAAGGAGGAGGGAGTCTGTGGTTGCAGATGAGGGTACCTTTTAGAGGGATGAATGGGAAGAAGCCCATCTCATGCCTTCTCTTGCTTAACACAATTGGGGTATGAGAACAGAGTTGGGTATCAGGGAGATCAGAGTAGTCTCGCCATTTTCACGACAGCAGTTGGAGGGTTTAAACTTTTGAGCAGGGTGCTGGCATGACAAGTGGAGTTTGTATACCGCCAGTCCTCCCATTGTGTGTTTTTCTCCGGCCACACTCAGCTGCCCCGTCTCCATATCCAAGGATAGTAAAAGTCCGTTTCTTCTGGGTCAGGAGTTCAGAACAGGCCAGAGGGGAGTAGAGGTTCTTAAAAACCTCAAGCTCACTGCCAACCAGTCAATTCTGACTCACAGTGACCCAGTGACCTGACAGGACAGGGTAGAATTACCCTTGTAGGTTTGCTAGACTGAAAATCTTTATCCTAGTAGAAAGCCTCATCTTTCTCTCTTGGAGAAGCTGGTGGTTTTGAACCGCAAACGGCAAAGTTAACTGCCCAGTGATTAACCAGAATGCCGCCAGGGAGCAGGGTGTCTCAAGGAAACGTGTTCAATAATAACTCTTGCCAGATACTGAAAAATACGTTGTAAAACAGGAGTGGCAACTGGTCACTAAGCTGATATTTTAAATTTTCATCTCACATTTCTAGCAACTGAATGAGGAGGCAAGAGGCTTGGGTCATCCCCTATAACTTAATTTTGCATCATTCTCTTGTCAGCGCGACATGACAGCTACCTAAGTCTCAGAAGCAAAGCGTCAGAAAAAAGGACCATTCCCGGAAGGGTACCTAAAAAGACACCCCCAAAATTGGTGTGCATTTCTTCCACTTGTTTTAAAGAGGGAGGGGGAGGCTGGCACCCTCAATTCATCCGTGCAGACAGCGCACATCCCTGCATGCTTAATCAGTTGGAGAAAAGAGATGCTGGAATTTTACTGCTTTAACCTCAGCTAACGTGTTGTGGGGATGTCTCTGGGGCTTAGGGGTGACTACTGACTCAGAGTGGAAAAGACAGAGAAATTGGGGCTCATTCCTTGTGTTTCCATATTATTCAAGCTAGTCTCCAGGAACCAGCCCAGGCTTGACATCCATGAGCCGTGCGGTGGGATTTCGTACCTTGAAAGTGCTCGAAAGCCCAATTTGGTAGAGGAGTCTTTGCAGCTCAAAGTTCTCCATCCATCTATTTATATGTATGAAGTAGGCCCTACCCCCAAGACTTTGATCTGAGTGAGGGATTTCACTTTGCATTCCACTGTAGCCCTCCTATACTGCTTGGCTGCTTAAAGCAGGTTCTGTCATGGAGTTGCTTACATTATGTGAGACTAAGGTGACTAGACGTCCCAATGTTTAACAATTTTTCCCGCGGCCTGCAGCGTTTTGAAAAAGTCCCGATTTTTGGAAAGAATGCACGACAAGCTAGGGTATACAGTTTTCGACTGCCATGTGGCTATATCGCCAAGAAATGAGTTTTATCAATATGTCCCACTTTTGTCCCGCTTTACCAATGTTAAAATCTGGTCACCTAATCTTAGACCATTCATCACGGGAGAGGCTTCAACTGCCAGACTCCTAGCCCAACAAAGCTGACGTAAAACCTAACATTCCCAGAGGTTAACAGATTCAACCCTATCCTATTGGCAAGAGGGCGCTCTGGTGGCTTTGAGGTGAGGCGCTCAATAGCTAACCCAAAAGGGGGTGCATGGAAACCAGCCGCTCCTCCATGGGAGAGAGATGTGGTAGTCGACTAGCAAGGACTATTACGGATAAGTGCCACTGAATGAATTCCAACTCCTTGTGACCCTGTGCACAGCAGAACTAAACGCCGACTGCTCCCGCACCGACCTCAAAAGCAGTGCTATGGCTGAGCCACTGGGTCTGTCTTCTTGTTGAAGCCTCTCTTTCATTGACCCTCTACTTTCCCAAACATGATGTCCTTGTGCAGGGCCTGCTCCTTCCTGATCACATGACCAGGGGAAGGAGGCTCCCCAGCCTCGCAGTTAAGGACATGCTCACTGCGCATCTGCCGAGACAGATGGGTTTGTTTATACGACTGCTGTTTTCTGCCAACACCAGGATTCAAAGGCATCGACCATTCTTCAGTCTTTCTATTCATTATCCAGCTTCCACATGCATGTGAGGCAACTGAAGACACCGTGGCTTAGGTCAGGAACACCTTAGTCCACAAAATGCATCTTTTCTTTTTAGCACGTTAGAGATAGCTTTTGCTGCAGGGTTAGCTAATGGACCGTGTCATATGATTTCTTGACTGCTTCTTTATGGCTTTTGATGGAGGACCTACGTGAAATGAAATCTTGACAACTTCAGTTTTTTCCTTCACTTATCACAAAATACTGTGTGTTGGTCCATTTGTGAGAATTTTTGTTTTTATATTGAGTTTAATCCATACTCTACGCTGTAGCTTTTGATGTGCACCAATAAACACGTTAACTCTTCTTCAATTTTAGCAAGAAAGCTTGTAATGTTTGCATGTTTGGGGTTGTTAATGAGCCTTTCTCTAATCCCGATACCACGTCGTTCTTCATACAGTCCACCTTTGCAGATGATTTGCTCCGTGTACGGACTGAATAAGTATGGCGGAAGGACATAACTCGGACAGGCCTCGTTCTTGTTTTTAAACCATGCAGTGTCCCTTTTTTGTGTTCAGACCACTGCGTCTTGGTGTACATGCAGACTCTGCATGAACACAAGTAAAGGAGTAAGTGTCCTGGAATCCCCATTCTTCAAGGGCTTTCCATACTGTTACGATCCACGGAGTCAAATAACCTTTACATAGTCCATAAAACACAAGTAAGCACCGATCTAGTAGTCTCTGTTTTCAGCCAAGGTACGCCCCAACCCACACACACACCCCAAAAAACCTGGAAAAAAGCTCCACTCGGTGGAGCTTTAGTAGTATGCATCCCCCCCACCCCACCCCCACCCCCTCAAGCAAGCATCAAGCAACTCTCTCTAAGTGCACTCAGGGGAAGGACACAGTGAATTTTTTCATAAAAGCTATTTCACTCAAACCTCTTTTTTTGTTATGGCCAATTTAAGAGAACAGCGTGTGTCTGTGAAATTTTGTTTCCTGCTCTGGAAAAATGCCACAGAAACAGTTGTGATGTTGAACACAGCTTACGAGGACAGTGTTATGGGGAAAACTCAAGTGTCCCAGTGGTTTTCTGGTTTCAAAAAAGGTGAAATGTTGATTGATGACATACCTCATTCTGGACATCTGTCAACTTCCTGAATGGATGAAAATGTTGACTTGTAGTGCATTTGGAGTTTGTGCCACCAGGTCAGACTGTTAATCAGGCTTTCTATTTAGAGGCTCTGAAAAGATTGCGTAACAATGGGCGATCAAAAAGACCTGACTTGTGGCAGATGGAGGACTGGTTTTGCCACCATGACAATGCACCTGCTCATGCAGCCATCTCAGTGCACCAGTTTTTTGCAAAAAGACAACATGCCTCTCTTGCCCCCCCCCACACACACACCTGACTCATCTGACCTCACTCTATGAGACTTCTCTTTGTTTCCTCGAATGAAAAGGAACATGAAAAGATAGCAATTTGAAGACATAGAAGAGGTGAATAAAAAAAACGAGGGAGGTGCTCTCAGCCATCCAAACAGATGAGTATGAAAAATGTTCCCAAGAACAGAATCACAGATTTGACAAATGTATTAAGTATAATG